TAAACAAACTGAACGTTTAATAGGAATATTCCAGACATATTTAAAAAAAATCAAGGAACGATTTTGGATGTACTGTAGGCCTACGGCCATGCAGAATGCCGCTGAGGCCTCCTTCTAGTTCTAGGCCGTAGCCTATAACGTAACTATATCATTACATGATTTTTACCTGTCTGCACCGACCAAAAAGTCAGTGAATGTATTCTCTCTCGAACGCTTTATGAAATGTTTATTTGTTTGACGAATGTCTCAGAATAGCCTTACAAACAAGTTCTTCTAAAACAATACAAATTACAATAGTTATTCAACGTATCTGTACGGCACTGCTGATGTGTAGTTAACGCGTACTGCAGGAGCACAAATCAGCATACGCACAGCTAAATGTAAATACGCACACAGTATACATATCACTATAGCAACCAATGACTACTACAACAGTTGTTTATCAAAACTAACATTAAAAGATGGCGATTGACTTATAAAGCAATTAGTAGAGCATGCATCATACACTACAGGAAAATTATACTTAGGTTAGATTTAATGCATTAAAAATTTCCTTCAGGCCTTGCAGGCCCCTCAGGAATTTTTTTCAAGCATTATATCTAACCTTTGTATAATTTTCCTATAATGTACTATGCGGAGCTCTACTAATTGCTTATTAACACAATAACCTTATTATCATTAAAGTAATACAAACGGTTAACTACTGAATCAGATACCGTGTATCTCAATATATTAGTCTGCAACTCAAGCCAATAAGATTGAGTGGCACACTAATATCTATTTCTGTACAGTATGCAATTATACTATATAGAAATAGGAATAATGAGAAACTCTGTAAATTTTCTATATTATGCCATTATACTGTACATATATATCAAAGTGACATTTTACTACACGTTACTTGAACTTTACTAAATTTATTGGTGTTTGTATTAGCGTTTACGAGAAATTCTGTCAAGGTAAACTGTCTTATAACTATAAATGTACCATTATCCTCCCTAATTCTGCCATTTTATTTTAAATTTTATGAAGCTTGATGAGGAAACTTTACATTTAACTGAAAATTGTAATTTGTTTTCACTCAGATGTCAGATACACAGGAGACAAAAGGTATGATAAAATCATTTATAAATCAATTGAAACAAAATTTCTTTCCCATTAGAAGAAATTAATAATTCATAATATGTATTGAATGACTACATTCTACCTGTTGAATTGTCTTTAATGGTTTTTCTTGAAAAACAATCAAAAATGGAATAAATTTGCATATAATAAATATATAATGAATATAACATATTATAGTGGATGGAATATATATTATAATCCATGTATCATAAAAAAAAATAATATGGGTAGGATACAAAGCATCAAATAAATGGTTGAAGTACTTAAAAATGATTTCAAAACATTTTTATTTTTAAATTGAATATTAAAAATATTTGCTTATTTTGTTTTATTTAAAAAAAAAAACATTTTATTTCATTCCATATGCGTATAATTCCATTATACACATACTGTATACACAAGATTTTGTGCATGGTCCAGTCTTAAATTTAGGCATAAATTATTCTAGATTACCATATTTATTCTAAATTAACACCCTGGGACATTTATTGTTGAGAAGGATTTTTGAGGGGAATTTATTTAAGGGAGGCACTTATTTGAGGGAGGTGTTTATTGTTTTTGGTGTCAAATGGATATGTATATTCTGTACTCAAATAAACACCCCTTAATTTCTCTGTAAATGTGAAACTATAACACAAAATTACTGTCAAAATGTGTCACTGCATGATCATAAAGACTTATTGATCCCAACTACGATAGAAAATAAATGTAATTCTACTAGAGCAGAACATAATTTGAATGTTTTGAGAATGATATGGCTTCCACTAGATTTATTACAGTATGAGGGATGATATTTATCTGAGGAAAAAATAAAAAAAGGGGGGGGGGTATTCAAAGCGGGATGTTTATTTGAATATATGAATATGTATATACATATATATGAATATATATAACTAAACTTAGATTATGGTTAAATAATCACAAGAAATCTGTTAGAGATAAGAGTAAGGGGTTTCCTGTGAGTGACCATTTTAACTCACAGGGGCACTCCATAGACAATTTACGTTTTATCATATTTGGCTGTAATTACAAATCTACAAGAGATAGACGTTGCTCCGAATTACTTTGGATCATGCGTATCAAATCACATATCAACGGATTCAACAAAGATCTAGGCTTTGCTAGTGGATACACATGCACTAAGAATTAATCTCTTAATCACCCTAGCAGTCTCCTATTATGTAACATAAACTATTTACCTATCATTATTTTCTAATGTTGTCTCATTCACGTTGAGAAAGTTCTGAGGACAGGACGAAATATTCGTGCCAAATAAAATAATGTTCCTATAAGACGTCATCTGTGTATGATTTTTGTTATCGTATCCATGTCTATATTTACTTATATTTCGTTGGGAACATACGTGCTGCTTACTATCTTATTGATGCCTATTACAGAGCCATTTTATATATATATATATATATATATATATATATATATATATATAATCACATATAGCAACCTCTAAATCTGCGATTGATTTTTACTTTTTTACTTTTTCCATGCCCTTCATAGTGATTAGAAATGTGCTACTTGCTACTGTCTTTAGGATTGCTTTGGTTATTGTGAAAAAGAAGGCATTAATTATTGCTGGGAGCTAAACAGTACACTATATTCAATTGCATTACAAATCTGGCAACAGTGTTCTATCATAGGTTACCGTATACACATATGAGTACCTAATAGGCATGAACAAATGTTATAGAGGTTCAGCTCCACCTTTGATACTGCCATGACAACCACTATTATAATTATGTCAGTGATTTTGTCAAAATTTCTCACCAGTTCATAAAGAAAACAAAGTGTATGCATTTGTTAAATTCATACAATAAAAAACCTTCATGGATTTGAAACTGGGATTCAATTTGTTCACCCTCATCCTGTGATACAGAGCATAGGGCTAGATGGAGTAGGCTTGTAGATAGTAGGGATATAATTCCTTTTCATTTTTGCAAGTTATACAAATACATTTTTTATTATTGAATTTAAAAATAAATTAATATATTTATATACATTAAAAAAAGTAATTATGCAATAAAGTACTCTTGAACAAGTCTTGAAAAACCTTTATATACAGAGCATGGATTTTGCAAAATATATTTTCTTTTTGGGGCGGGGGTGTTGTGGTTTTAAAATGTTACCTCTTTTCAGCCTTTGTGAAGATTTTCTTTAGAAATACATTTTTTCCTGTGTTGACCAATAATGTAAAGTCTAAGATTAAATTTAATATTGAATTTAACTTAGTATATTAATTTATGTAGATGTAAGTACTATGTCATGAACCCTTCATAGGAATCAATAAGACTACAGAATCAAATTAATTTATCAGCATGGCCTCTCAACCAGATTTACTAGAAGGTTTTTATTTTATGTTGTATATAAAAATTTAAATATTTGAAAAAAATAAAAATAGTGCATTATGAAAAATCTTATATTTGTCATAACATCTATAATAAATATTTTATGCAACTTTTTATATGTAAGAAAAGAGATGTCATTCAATTTTTGATACCAGGATTAATTAATGCATATAAAACATTATCATGTATATGATATGTATGTATACATTTTGTTTCATTTCATTTCTATTTATAAAGCCATCAACTAGTAAAGTATAGGCCTAGGGCTACTGTAAAGTCATCAACAATATAGAAATGTGTAGGCCTTGGGTGATCAACAATAAAGGCATGAGTGAAGTCTGTATTCTCAGAGGAAATTTGCTTTGGTTGGTTTGTTATGGACAGTCCCTGCAGCAGTTAGGCTAGCTATGGAAGTCGTCTAATCCAGGTCAGCCCTTGCGGCATTATGCTCATTAGCTTGTTCAAGTATAATTATAAAACGCTTGATTGATGCAGAATTGTAGAATATGATTACATTATCATTCATTAATATGGAATCTAACTATCGGTTTGGTGGACAGTCTTGTTTTGAGATTATTCAAATTTGCTACTCAGTTTTACGTCTTATATACATAAAATACATAAGATATGAGAATGCAACAATAACACGATATTGGCCTAACACAGCCTTTCAAAGGAATGATATGAACATTTTAAAAGTATTTTATGGGAAAACACATTTACAAAAGCTATCCCTATGTAGGGGCCTACAGATCCATATGGTTACTTCCTTAGCGTCAGAGGAATCTAAATACACATCTCCCTGTTCCTGATGATTATTCATGAACGGCTTTTGTTTGTATATAGGCACAGATAAAGACAGATTTTAATTATTTCTGTAGCGCTTTAAACTCCAACACAAAAATAAAAAAACACATATTGAAGCAGATGCATACTGTATTTGGTTTATTTTTATAGGCATAATGACTGAATATGCAGCAAACTTAATTCCATTGAAATACATAACATGTATATATATATATTAATATATATACATAATAACATGTATATATATATATTAATATATATATATAAATATTTACATTGTTTGAAAAGCACACAGGGTGACACCAGGGTTTTATTTGGTTTGGGTGCAGGAACTAATAAACAAAAAATATGTCCACAAAATTACCCTAGAAGGGAATAAATTACTACTAATCATTGAATGGAGAACCTAATTAAACAATCTGAAACTGAACTGCATGATTTTATTAAGAGTTTGAGCGATATGGATAAAAAACAAAGAAGCATTGGACCACTAATTCATTATGAACTAAAGTATACAGACAAGAAAAGACTGAATGAATGCAAGAACGGATAAGAATGATTAATGGAATAGGTTTAACTTGGTCTTAACTTATGAGATACAAACATTACAACATTACTGTATACAATATAACCGACTGAACTTTTTGAATAAAGTGACACCCTTAATGACACATGTAATTGAAAACCTGCACAATATATTGTACTCACCGTCGGGGCTTAGCCCTCGTTGATGTCTCCCTCATTGACTTACTTCGAACATTCATTTTGGCAGATAGGCCTACACTCCACCACTCAGACTATTTGTGGCAAGTTATTTAACAAATTAATAGAACTAGATTTAATACACGTCTCCTGACAGGATAACAAGTCCTGCTTTTCTTAAATCTCAAGCATCGATGATCGCATCACTAGTTGAAGATTATATTTTCAGAAACAGTATATTCTTTACTTGTGTCGGTTTTACCTTATGCTACTCCATGCAATCAAGTGACGTGTACAGTAAGAAATGATTGTCCTTTAAGAAGCAACAATAAGCGAGGTAGAAATAAGAGGCAGCGATAATAGCTGTGAGCTGAAATATAGATTAGATGCGATCATCAACAGCCGAAGGAGATCACTGCCTCCTGCACGAATGATAAATTAATATATTTGAAACGAAATTTAGCGCGTGTACAATGAAAAGATAAGGCCGAAGCTCAGCCCACCTGAAGACGAAATATCATGGCTTCTATAAACTGACTTAAACTAGACATAGCAAATTTAACAAAATTCAAACGAATAATTATTCAAAAACACGGCGCCACCACAAAAGACATTTTTTTGGTTATAAAATAACTTTTTATTACCTTACGTGTCACTGGATTCGCTGCTGATAAATGCTGTTTGTATGGTAATGCAATCGTCAACAAAATTGCGCCCTCTAACAATAATTAATTTATTTAATGAAATTAATTGGCATCCAGGAAGCAATGATTTGACGAATATTATCTTCGTCACAATAATCAATATCTACCGTAACAGACGTAGACGTGGTTGGCATCTTTGTTTTTAGACCCTTGTCAACCTAGCTACCAACTATTATTAGAATCATCGCTAATATGCATTCAGTTTATTTTCGAAATGAATACATAGGCCTAAATATATTTCTCGAAATATTAATAAGTGACTTTATTGCATTTAATCGCTTGATGAACAACAGGTGTATATTTGCATAGACTATTCAAATACGCCTTTACAGTTTCGGTCGCTGAATACAGCTGCAAATTATAATGTACATTAAACCGTTTTCTTTACAAATACATGGATATGATAAGCTCGGCAATGACTCACAAGCAAGAACATATTACAAAAGGCGCCTTACCGATTATTGATAGCGAAGGAATTATTTCTCAATGCACAACCTTTTGGCAATCACATATTCTAAATACACAAAAATATATTTCAAACCTATGTCAGTAGAATGTTTGCAATTCTAATGTCACTGGCAAACAAATAGGCCTGAATGCCAACTGTTATTGAAAACTAAACCATTTAATACCGACTTGGACGGATTAAATTAAAAAAATACTGCTTAGTTACTTATATCATGGACCTGGTTATATTCGTTTTCTTTCTATTTACATTATTTTGAAGCGTTGGTGCCCTGTTCGACTTCTCTTAAACGTATCGTTTTATCGTTGGACGGATCCATAAACCATTTTCTACTCAAGTCAGTATTGGTACAGCCTAGAATAGCCTCATTCGGAACCTGGGCAGAAGAAAGAACAAAGATAAATAGCAAAAGGCAATGCTGTAAAAATTTAACAGAATCTCAAATGTTGAAGCTCATGTGATATTAACCTATATATGCTTTCTATGAGCTAAACGTCATAATATTTTGAGCGCGCATTTTACTTTTCCATGCTAATTGAAATATAAACATCCAGTTTCTGTCCTTATTGAGTCGTAATGCAAATAGACTGTACGAGAAGTAACACCGAATCCTATATGTAAAGGTAATAATTATGTTCAACAACAGTCTCTTTAATATCGTTAGAAAACTGAGAGTAGCTCTAGGCTAGGCTAATATGATTCTAGATAACTTCAGATTAATGTTGTCACATTATGGAGAATATTTACGAGCTTTACCACATTAACAATTCAAAATAAAATTTATGTCAAATTAATGTACCGGCAACCGCTAGAATAATGCCGCTCTCATGCACGATCAGACTAATTCGCTATACTTAAAGGAAAATAACATAATATCAATATTATGATGACTTGTTTGATGCATGATAATGCTGTCACGATAGTAACTCGTAACGCTCATTACCTAGTAACGATTGTAAATGCGCGACTACGCCGACGAATTTATTTCCGCTCTCTGTGAGCGCTTGACGATGCCAAGAGGCACCGACATATTGAGCGGATCCGTCACGCGTTCTCCATGGAGAATTGTGCGTCGGGCATGGATCCTATTATCGGCATATTTTTAAAGCCTGGTTTCCATAAAAATCGCTACACGCTATCGCCAACTCCTTTGGCGACGCTGATTGGTCAGTTGAATTAAGCTCGGTTTCCATAGAATCGCTCACTCTATTGGCGACAGCTCTCGGGAAGGTTAAACCTGGTTCAACTTTGCCGATTGCGTTGCAAAATGAATCTGGGTGCTAGCTGCCCTGACGCAATCGGGAAGGCATCCCGATTCGTCTGCAACGCAATTGGGAGGTTCAACCTTCTCGACAACTGTCGCCGATATGGTGAGCGATTCTATGGAAACCGAGCTTCAGCGAGCGTTCCTGATTCCGCCGGGGCAGCTACGCAGTGAATGATTGCAGTCAAAACGCTGTAGCGAATGTGTAACGATTCTATAGAAAAGGCCAACTCTGATAGCGTCGTACGGACGCAGCCCGACGCGATTCGTGAGAAATATAAATATTCTACGACACGACTGTCCCCGACACAAACCATCGCGTCTTCGTTTAACTGAAGCTCGGTTTCCATAGAATTGCTAGGCTAACGACATTCGCCGACAGTTGTCGGGAAGGTTTTACCGTTGCGTTGCAGACGAATCAGGGTGCATTGCTAGCTGCCCTGACATAATTGGGAAGGCACCCCGATTCATCTGCAACGCAATCACCAAAGTTGAACCAGGTTCAACCATCCCGACGACTGTCGGCGATTGTCGCCGATAGAGTGAGCGATTCAATAGAAACCGAGCTTCACATAGACTAGACGCGACAGCAATCGGCCTAACTTGTCGGGATGGGAACAATCGCGATGGTAAAAAGAAATCAACTTTTTACCAAGATAATTTAACAGACTATGGATGTTTATATATCTCTATTAACAGACACATAGGGCTATGGTGATAGATCCAATGACCGGGGTAAATGTGAAGCGCTTAGAGGCCTTGTAAAGGCATGAAGCGCTATATAAGAACGAAATATTATTATTATTGTTATTATAGTAATTTTATACGCTGACATAATATCCTCCAATTAATTAGCTGTAATACAGAACAGCACAAATTAATGTGATATATAACGCACTCATTTTGATTGCCTAATTACTTAATATTTATTATACATTTCATTGTGTAAACCTAGGATTAATATTCAATTAAATTGATATTTGCATACACCATACTCTTTGAAAACGCATAAACAGTATCGTTTGATTCTTTGCATAGACCCTCAATTTTGCTAGTAGGCTTAATAAATAATATTGAATACCGTAATGTTGAAAAAGAACCATTAGGCCTACGTGAGTTGTTAAGTTTTAAATTAAATTTCTAAGCTCTCTTAAGGTTTTTTTTTTTTTTTTATAGATTTTACAACATACAGTACTTTCCCCTCAAGGAAATAGATTTAGGCCTAACTGGGGGAATGCGTTGCTACGGTCACACTTGTCGATTACAATCATCACTGACGCCATGTTTGGAAACGACAACCATTTTTGTACCAATATCTGATTTTATTAGATTTTAGAATAATTAAACTTAATTTCAATTTATCCTAATTTTGGATCTATAGTGCCTATAAATTAGATATATTGAAAGTTTGTGTGAACTTTTTAATGATTTATTGAATGAAAGATACAGAAATTATCATTGAATACACAGAACCACCGACTTCAAAATACAATTCCTCAACCATAGCTCAAAATGGATCATAAATACGTGAATAAAAAAATGTAACTTTCTATACCAGGGTTCTGAGTTCAAATCCCGTGAAAATATTGGCTTAGGTCTTATCCAAAAACAGGTTTTAAACTTGGTTTCCATACAATCGCTACATGCTATCTCCGACAGCTTTCGATGATACTGATTGGTCGAATCGGGGAGAGACTTCTCGATTGCTTCGGGGACTGCTACGCAGTACAGCGATTGCACTAAAACACTGTAGTGATAGCGTACCATAGCAATCCCTATACAGTCTTTTCAATGCAATGCTTGCACTGCGTAGTCTCCGACGCAATCGGGTGCGCTCCCTCATTCAACTGACCAAATCAGCGTCGCCAAAGGAGTCAGCGATAGCGTGTAGCGATTCTTTTACGAAAACGAGGCTCTATGGAAATCAGGCTTATTTTTGTAAGTGCAATAACAATTTAATAAAATCGAACACACTATGCCTACTATAAATAATTTTCAAAACATATGTCGTTATCTTAATTTTCTATGATCTAAAGCCTGGTTTCAATAGAATCGTTTCACAGTCGATACAGCTTTTTCACTGCAATCCTTGCACTGCGTGTCCCCGACGTAATCGGCATAATAGGTTTATATATAGTAACGATTATATTTTTATAAAACATGCCTTTTCCATGGTTTGCACAACTTTATTGCATCTTCCCACCATTTCTGTCACGTCATTACCAGGGTGATTCCACAGCCTGTCTCTTATATCGGGGAAAAAAGCACAATTCGTCGGGGAGAAAAAAAATTATATGTATTTTTCTACATATTAGTGGACTCTAAAATAAGCCTTCCCAAATCGTCAAAATTTTCGGGCGCTTCGCCCCCCTGGACCATTTTCGAAAACTTTTAATCGAAGCTCGAACCACGCCCACTTTGCTTTCGTCGGAAAAGTGTGACCCCTCGTCGGGGGAATCTCCCCCCCCCTCGTCGGAGACCTCGCCCTCCCCCACCCCTGTCGGGCAAATCCTGGCGAAACCCATGGGGCTTAGGCCTCCTCCGCCACCCCAGCTGGCGCCGCCACTGCCTTTAGGGCCTACCAAGTGTTGGGAGAGACAATTGTAATTGTTTTATTTTAAATAATCTTGATTTACCAGGTTTAAACCCGAGACCTTCCGATTGGAAGGCGAGTAGCTAACTACCAACACTATACATCTCAATGCCTTCATTGGTAAAATACTCCACATTAACCGTTATTGGAAATATTATATTACCGTCGTTGTCACTTACTTCACAATGATGTATCCATCTTCTATAAACACCTTTTTCATATTATCTGTCAACGTGTCGTCGTTAGCAAATGAAAATTCTTTGGAGAAAATATTAATACGTTTTATATTATGAGATATTTCAATGATTATAAGGACAAGCCAATCGCACGGAGATTATGTAGACCATTAGTGATAATGATATATTATGTTACATATGGCTAGTCAAGTAATTACACACCTTCTTGAGATTAGGGAGTTTTCAGTGTATTTCGTAGAGGCCGGTCAATTAGCTATTTTTATACGATTTCATTAGCACGCAGATCCGTGCTGAAAGATGGTGCAGTTTTGTGCTCCCCTTGGATAGACCTTGTTGCTAAGGTCCCACAGAATGACAGCGTAAATGTACGTAAACGCGTGCGTTTGTGGGACAAAATCGTAGTCCTGGCCTTGTTTGATTGGTCAGTTGTTAAGTTTGGAAAGGTCCGTAAGTTTGTGTACACTTCAAATTAGTCGTTGCCAAATCAGTAACTGTGACGTGTACGATATTTTAGAAACTCCCTAGGATTGTTGAATGTTGGCCGTCTCATTTTTTCAGTGCTAAACCAATACCCACTCTGGGTAGAGGGAAACAACGTGAATAACGTAAACCATTTCCAGAACTACAGACCAATGAGTCGCAGCTCGGGTTGAAAGCAACTCCTTACCGCCTCAAACTTCCCTTCCAAACTCCAATTCTTTATAAACAACATAGGCCTACAATAGGCCTAGCAGTTGTCACATTGCAGTCTATGGTAATTGATAGGAAGGCCTCTGTACCAGCATGCTTACGTCGTACAAAAAATAATAGACAGCTTTCGCCGCACGACGTTAACCTTAACGTTAACAGATGATGTCATAATTTATTCATCTTGCGTTGCGGAGTACGTACATTTTAGGATTTTACGTGCTCGACGTACGTTAGTTATGGGTTTGCGCAAGCGTGTTTCGTTTTGTTTACAAAAAGGGGCGGAGCTATCGCGTTGCATGTTGGGTACTAACGTTAAAGTTAAGGTTAACATTGTGCGGCAAAAAACTACCTAATACGATGTGAAAAGAAAGGTTATACGTTTAAGCTCTTTCTACATGTTAACACATTATTATTAATATTAGTAGGCGTGTAACCAGCATTGAAATCACATCAGAAAATACAAGTGCAAAGTACAGTATGCTCAATTGCCACCAATGGATCGTAGGCACGGTTATTTTATTACCCCAATTCAAGCTGGTAAATAATTATAATGAATCTTGAGGTTACGTTACCTGTAGACATGATTATCAAATGAAGAAGCGTTCACCCAGAAAACATGTTACGGTACGTCTAGTAGATCGATTTAGATGTCATGCTAACCCAAGGACTTAAACATTTGAATGTCAATATCATTAATTCAATCCAGGGTAATGGGATGGATATGATATCATATCAAAGAAACACAAAGGTTAAACCATTCTCTAAATGGGCCTATTATTAGTCAACCTTAGAGTCAAAAGCAGATATAACATAACCGTAAAGGTCAGTTTAACCATTTTAAAGTTTTTCTAAAATTAGGCCTATTAATATGATAAAATGATGGATTTAACTTCTGGCCAGGTGTTTTCTTCTCTACAAATCTGGTTTACTTGGTCAAAATCAAAATCACGAGTCATTTCGTGGTTCGACGGCATGTAGGCATAGGGAGACACTTATTAGACTTATACACATCTAGATGTGTATAAGAGACAGGATTATGTAGACCATTAGTAATTGGAAGGGACAAAAGATGCAATACATTGCATTGTACACGATTTTAATGAGGATATGCCAAGGAATTACTTGACTTAGAACCATCATAATTTAATTACTCTGTAATATCATATGGATCGTGAAATATGTTATGTACGTAGTTCACTTTAAATGATTATTACTGACAAGGATACTATATTGAACTGTTCAGTCAGTTGTATGAAAGCGCCTGGGGCTAGTTCTTTGCCTTTATCTTTGTGGTCTAATGGGCATGATACTCGCCTTGGTAGCGAGAGGTTGCAGGTTCGAATCCCACTTTCTTTTATACAACTGAACAAAGGAACGTTTCTTTAAAGGCCTATGCTTGATACGATGATACGATTATAACATATTGTTTTATATATATATATATATATATATATATATATATAATTATTATTATCACAGGCATACTTTAATTCCTAATTACGTATAGCTATATTAAGTTCCACTTGTTGTTCACAGGAAAATCACACGTTTAAAAAAAACTCATTGAAGCTGAACAGTATTGTTCAGCAGTATTGTATATTGTTCAGTCAATGAAATGTGTTATTGTACACTTTACGATCCTGCTACACTGCAGAGAGAACACGGTTAGCCACTTCCATGGTTAAGTACTGGGCAGGGCGGACATTCGAAGCGTTACGGTGATCACATTAAATGTGTCCTGACTGCTTATGTATTGGTTAAGCATTGTGGCTCTCTATCTAATTTATGGTTCAGTAAGTGGGGTATCGGACAATCAGGTAGGCCTACATACTCATGTACTGGTTAGGGTTAGGGGCGTGGGCCGGTGTTGGTAATGATCGAGTGGGATCGAGTGTGCCGATCATCCATTTTCATCCAAGACGACGTTGCACCTGTACTAGGCCTGTCTGCTGATCATGCTACGGTAGGGGAAGGGGCTCTCATGTTACATGATCAGGCATCTTCCTCTTTCCGTAATAATACGATTATCTCTATGCCTATATAGTTTCATTGGCTGAGCTGTGTAGATTTAGACAGGCTATATGTATATGTATACATATATATATATATATGCTTAAAAAAATAGGCTTATATATACATTATATATATATAGGCTTAAAAAATAGGCTTATTTATATATATATATATATATATATATATATATATATATATACACACACATTAGGATAAATCATTTCAAGAAAGTACATGTAGTCCTACATATTAACAGCGTGCGTCTCATCCGAGATATTCATTTTGTACTTTATACACTGAGTACGGTACTTAGTACCGATACAGTTAACCGTTATCGGTGCGAGGAATAGCCTACCAATTACCATACTTCCTGTTTCCATTTTGTACGATTTCTTCCATTTCAACGACCTCGAATGTTGGATTGTTTCAGTTTTGATTTGGTCGAAGTACGTTAAAGTATGTTATTGTATACAAGTTAAGCACCAGTGCACGCTGCCGGTCTATGGAAGGCATCACCGCCAGAACTTCAAATGTGAAACGAACAACGTAGGGCCTACATTAAAAAAAAAACAAAAAAAAACAAAAAAAAAAACAACCCAATTACACAAACGAACAACGTATACTTACAAGGAAAGGCCTCATAAAAAAACAAACAAACAAACAAAAAAACTAACATATTTACAAGAATAACATAACACAGAAATCTGTGCAGAAATCAAATTCGACTTAGAAATACTTATTAGGTCTAACTAAGTTTAAATATTTTTAACAAAATCTGTAGAATGAATATTTTGTTATTGTTCAGTATCGTGTATAAGCATCATGTTTGGTTAAATTCAATATTTTAAAGTACGGCTGTGTTTTACGCAATGATGTTGATATATATAAAAATGTCTCTTATACACATCTAGATGTGTATAAGAGACAGTGTTGAAGATGTGTAAAGACATGCAGATTAAAAGTAATAACGATGTCCCCATGTATTGTTTTGCAGAATGTCGAGTCAAGATCTGCTTCAAAATTCGGAGATAAACATGAGAAATATATTGAATTATTCGTCGTAGTTGATTACTTGACGTTTAGTTACCATGGGGACAATACAGAAAAATACATCATAGATATGCTAAACACGGTACGCTAAACTACTTTTGATTTCCTACATTACACAATTTCCCCTGGTACACAATCATGTACAAGCTCCAGCATGATCTAAGCATATCCCTGCCTTTCTTTTCATTTGCTGCACACGTTTTTTTTCCGTATTAGGATATTAAGATATCTCTATTCATGGAGGTATCTCTATCAATAGAGATATCTTAGTTTTAAATAGAGATATCTCTATTTTAAATAGAGATATCTCTATTTTAAATAGAGATATCTCTATTAATAGAGATAGGATCTCTATTAATACAAATATCTCTATTAATTAGAGATATCTCTATTTCAAGTACAGATAGACCTATCTCTATTTTAAATAGAGATATCTTTGTTTTAAATAGAAACTAGCATATACCCGTATTCCGCACTGTCTTGAATGAATGGGAAAGGTGGCCTCCGCATGGTGTTGAATGAGTGGGGAAAGGTGGCGATGTATATAGTTGGATGGGAGGAATTGGCGGATTTGAGAGGGAGCCAAAGGTCCTGACACCCCACCACCCGGCAAAAAAAAAAAAAAAAAAAAAAAAATCATAAAAAAATATAAATAAATAAATAAAAAGAATTCAATGCCTGTGAACTGAAATTTCATATAGAAATCAAAATTTTCCCGGGGAAGACCCTGACCCCAAATTTCAAATTTTTCCCGGATGTATGTGTAGTAAATCTGCTTTCTGTTTGAATTGCGGTGTTGTGGTATTGTTTCTGAATATATTGTGGGATTGTAACATGCATTATTAGATCAGATGCGTAGCACAATGACGTCACGACAGTTATGAGGTTTGGACGTAATCAGCAAGAAAATGTGTTAATTTTGCCAAAAAAAAAAAAAACACATGTAGGATAACAAATTCGAGTCCTAATGTAGCGGATGTCCGTCCAGTTGGTGGTAGGTATAACATGTGTGAAAAATCATAATTATACTTGATATACTTTTGGAGATATTTGGTGGACAGAGAAAAACACAAAACGTTATTTTAGTAGTATAGAGAGAGAGAGAACTAAGATATCTCTATTTACGATTAAATGACAACTTGGCTCGCCACAGTCTTCTATGACTTCTCCGTAGTTTTCCTTTAAATATCAAATACTGTACTAGTGTTGTATTGGCATACCGACAGTGCGAGATGAATTGCCTCCAATCAGATTCGAACTTTCTTGAACGCACTTTTCAATCTGTCATTACTGTGCTCCGTCCAATCGTTTTTCCACATCCTCCTCCACTATGTACTCTTTACGGTGCTTCCATCTGGAATATTTTCTAAATAATAAATCCATGCCTTGTGATGTGATTATTATTTGCAAATTTCTATTTACTTTTTACTTAATGGTTGAATATACTTTTATTAAATAATTGAATGTTTTGTCGTTTTGAATTATACCGGTGTATGTTTGAAATGGAATATTATTGACAGGCGGCAAGGTTTTGGAATGACTCTACACTAGAAGTGAACATTGGCCTACTCCTGACGGGAATAGAAATATTAAGAGAGCCAGATGTGAGTACCATTAAAATAATTATACCAATAATAACGATAATAACAACAACGATAATATTTCATAAAAATATAATTATGGTGATAATGATGGTAATAAGACCAGGCAAGCAAGCGACGACGTAGGCCTTATAAACAGTACTACCGTGTAATGCATGGACAACTACCGATGAAGCGCGTGAGTACAATAACTTGCTATAGCATTATGCCTATATTCCACTGTATTTCTACACCATCTAATATTTGCCATCGTGCACAAATAATAATTTTACTCAGGCTGACATTGGTGAGATCGACGAAAATACTCCCAGATGTACGCATATTTAATTTGAGGAGTAGGTCTAACTGTATAATAATGAACTGATGATAAATGCATAAAATGTACACAAAATGAAAATATGCAATCAAACAAACAAACAATATGCAATCAAGCAGGCGTCCTTGCTATCATTTTATTACATATGCCATTGTATGCTATGTTATAAGTCTGGGTCTATGCTACTCGTTTTAGCAATATTATATATATATATATCTATATAACATATATATACATATATATGATATGAAAGAGATGTTGCTTATCAAACCGTTATAGCATTATTTCTCACAGCATTGTTTGTTTTGCAGTAACACATCTAGATGTGTATAAGAGAATACATATATATATATATACATTTTATTTTATTTTAGCCATTGATAAGCAACGATGAAGATGCTAACACCATTTTGATGGACTTTAGACTCTGGTTGTCAAGTGACCACAGTCCATACTCAGATCTTAATTTTGATGTTGCAATACTTATTACAAGGTAAGGAAACATTAACCTGTGAAAACGATGTTCTCTATCAATTATGGCTGGCAATATTACTGAGTCTGCCTGTTTGACGTCATTATTGTAATCGTGCGCATAATCTTCATTAATTTTACATCGCTTCAATATCACTTTAGACCTACTCACCAGTCAACCTTATCTGACTCCTCCCTAATCATCCCTTATCCATCAGCAACTACACTCACTCCCTCCCCATCCGCACTGGTTAATTCTCCTTCGCATCCGCCTATTTAATGAAAGAGTTATCTATCTTGATCTCCCTAAAGCCGATATAATCCGACATGTAAAGAACCAGCTAGCAATTGACGACGACACGACGTGCCTGTAGAACTGAATTAAACGTAATGAATAATGGCCGACAATAATAATAGTGTATTCTACACTCTTACAGACAGGACATTCATATCGATACAAACTACGAGGCCACGGGCAAAGGGTTCGTCGGCGGAGTATGTATAGAAGGCATGAAGATGGCAATAGTGGAAGACGATAGCCCAATGGGGCTAGCAATGTCAATAGCACATGAACTTGGTCACCTGTAAGCACTGCATTTTACTAAATACAATTTGTAAAACTGTAGACTGACTGATATGTAATAAGTATATTAAGTATTTTAAAACTAAAAATGTTTACAAAACTAGAGATTTGCCTGAAGGTTATACTCTCGCAGTGGCGTATCTAGAAGTCTGGAAGGGGGGGGGGGTGCTGATGGGGAAGGAGCGCGAAGGTGAAGTGGGGAGGGATCGATGATCAGTTGAGGGGCGCTAACTCGAAAAATAAGGTGATTTTAGGTGATTTTCTAACTATACTTGACCGTAACATTTTTTAGTGTGAGAGATTGGGGAGGGGGATTAGTTAACTATTATTGACCACGTAAGTACACATTTCAATGTACATCACATTTATATCCCAATTGAAAATGTTAACATCCTGAGCTTTCGTTCTCTGATTGGATATAATATAGACGAGCCTAATAACCGTTAGTGCGTGTGAATATCGCATGGTCGTCATCACCTGCTACACGCCAGGTTGTTATTTACATAGAAGATATTAACCTAAACGATTTCAGTTTATACTTTGAATCCTAACATCAATTTAAGTTGTCTTATGAGATCGATTTAAATTATATTTAAATTTTCAAATTGAGTCTCGATAAAACGAGGTTATAAATCAACTGATATATGAGTCTATATAGACATGCAATTATGTCCAGCCCTGCTGGACGAATCTCATTTGGGGTGGCGCCAGCGGGGGCCCGTTGGCGAGAGCTGCCCCCCCCCCCCGTCGGGGAGAAGAAGCACAATTCGTCGTGGGGAAAAAAAGTTATGTATGTATTTTCTACATCTTAGTAGCCTCTAAATCGATTAAATAAGCCTTTGAAACCCCTAAATTGTTTTCATCGGGGAAATCTGAACCCTCGTCGGGGGCATTGGCCCCCGTCGGGGACCCCCCCCCCCCGGCGGGAAAATCATGGCGCCACCCCTGCATTTGTTAAATTCTTAAATAATTTGTTCCAAGAAGAAGTCCGAATGAACCGATATATTGTCAAATGATTCTCTAGGCTGGGGATGTACCACGATTACCAATACAGCGATCCGCTATGTCCCGACAAGACATTCCTAATGTCGGGATTTACAGTCGGGGGACCGAAGTCAATGCAATGGTCAAGTTGTAGCAGCGAAGCGGTACAGAGATTTGTAAAGTAAGTGAGAGAAATATAAAATTAGTTGGAGTGAAGTAATCTCAGGGGTAAATTTTCCTATTTTACTTCCTGTATATGTTATTTAAGACACAGGAATTAGACTGCAGCGGCATTCGAGAAATAAGGTACACAATACGCCCACTCCTCCATGATCAGACGTAGGCCTAATATTGAATCTTGTATTACCAACTACTATAAACAATATGTGTTAGTTAATTAATCACTTTAAATTGCGTATGTTAGACCTCTGTCCACACCATCAAATTGTATGTCACAAATTTGTGTGATGTGCCCATATATGGGCATGATAATCTTCTTCTTCTTCTTCTTCTTATCGAGTCACTACGTAGCATGTGTGTATGATCTAGCCTACGTAGTGTGGTAGAAGGATTCGCAGGTAGGATGGATACCAGACATGGGCCGCGGCATAAACGCTCCTTCTGTGGCCTGATGGGCATGATGATGTCATATTACCCAAATATGCGCATATCACATTTTTTATCACATACAATTTGATAGTGTTTTTGGACCCCATAGGAAATAAATCAACTTTAGTTGATTTTAATGGGTCGTCCATGCATCCATTCTCCGTTTTTACTGGCAATTTTTATCTGTTTTTTGTATGTCTTTGTTTTGTAAAGTGTTGCATTTGAATGGATGCTAAATAAATAAACAAATAAAAGTGTGGACCTGTGCGAACAGAGCTGAATTATAATATTGCGGTTTTTTTTGTATGACATGTAAAGCATGTATGTTCCTGTCAATTTACCGTAAATGCTCGAATAAGCGCCGCGGCGCTTATAAAATTGTCGGAGGCTTCAGTGCGGCGCTTATTTGAGAGCGGAGCTTAGGCCTATTCGAGAGCGGCGCTTATAAAAACAAACGTGGCCGGACGTTTCACCGACAGACATTTGGCCGACAGACATTGGGCCTACAGACTATCGACCGAAATACCATTTCGCCGAATGCCAGTTCGCCGACAGGACGATTCGCCGACAGCCAATTTGCCGACAGCCAATTTGCCGAGACAATTCGCCGACATTTTGTCGTGGCCGGACGTTTCACCGATAGACATTTGGCCGACAGACATTCGACCTACAGACTATCGACCGAAATACCATTTCGCCGAATGCCAGTTTGGCGACAGGACGTTTCACCGACAGCCAATTTGTCGACAGACATTTGGCCTAGACTATTGACCGAAATACCATTGGCCGACACGAAATTTTGCCGACACCACATTTCGCCGAATGCCAGTTTACCGACAGGGCGATTCGCCGACATTTTTTGTGAACATGTTAATGGATGGATGTGTCACAAGTGGCATATTTAGATGATTTATTTTTCGGTTACGTGTCCAAAACCTTTCTAGTACCGGTACCGAATATTGTGCACAGCTTACAGATATCAAATGTTAAATTATGTTTTGAGCATTAAATTTGAAACTTCTACACTGTGATAGAGCTAAAAGTTCATGATAATAATTGGTAGGCCACTGTTTAAATCGTGAAATAATTATTCTATTCTAGTAACGTATTACTATTCTTTATAATAATGGAAGGGCCGTAATAATCTGGGGAAAGTATATTGTGTACATTTCATTTTTTCCTTAAATTTGCAGTAAATTCACACCTGGTATCTTCTATCCTGTCTTACTTTTTATAGCAATTTATACCAATTTAAAAAAAAGCTCTTTATATTGGTTTAATTATTACAGTCGCTTATGATTTTCTTAGTAATATTTAATAAAAATATACATGAACGTGTGTTTATTATAGACCTGTATTTAATATTTTTGACAGAATCTTGTTGCATGTTTAACATATTGAAAGTGTGTCTGCATGTATGAATAACTAGTCGGCGAATTCGATTTCGGCGAATTCCGGTGTCGGTGAATGTTCTTTCGGTCAAGTGTCTGTTGGCAAACTGGCATTCGGCGAAATGTCCTAGTACGACGAAGAATCATCAATCACATCACAAAAATAAATTGTCGGCGAAATGTCTGTCGGCGAATTGGTTGTCGGCGAAATGTCTGTCGACGAATTGGTTGTCGGCGAATTTGCTGTCGGCGAATCGTCCAGTCGGCGAATTCGATTTCGGCGAATTCCGGTGTCGGTGAATTTTCTTGCCCTAGTACCAAAAACAAATTGGCGAGGCGCTTTCCATGCCCGTTCCCATGTTACCTATTTCACGTATTCCCGTAGACTATCATAGGTCTTATCATCATAAATAAACGTTTATAAAGATATGCTTGTCTTCATTGTATTATTTGTTCATTTTTACACCGTGTCATTGTATTTAAAACCCTGTTTCTCAAAGTGTTTCTACACACAGCGTAATATAATTATACTCTCGACTAAGCGTCGCGGCGCTTATTCGGAAGCGGCGCTTAACGAAAAAAAAATCACGATTGGTGCAGCGCTTATTCGAGAGCGGCGCTTATTCGAGCATTTACGGTAGCTAAAATTTTAACATCTTCCAGCGCCGGTGACAAATCAGTATTTTTTTTTTGCTTTAATATGCGCTTTAAAAATGTGTATTATTTATTTAGGCCTATTTATTATTATTTAAAGAGGTACGAATTTCTATCGGTATATTAATTTTAAAAAGTCATTGTTTTTTTTTTGTTTTTTTAAACGGAACAGGGGCCGTACAACAAATTGTTTAAATACTCATGGCAGAGGTGAGATACTGATTGGGGACCACTCAGTAGGGGTAAGGTACAATGCAGAGTTCCAATGTACGATGCTACGGAGAGAAAAGTCGTTTGGATGTAATCAGAAGGTAAGCCCATTAACCAGAGGATCCACTAAACAACTAAAACAAAAAGACAGTAACTCCGAAAAGAGACAGAGACATTTTGAGATTAAACGTTTCAAACTATTTGATAATTTTCAAGAATACTGATGAGAAAATCTCTTATTTACATAAACACATTATAATTTATACAATAGATGGCCAATGGTCAACGACTCTGATAATAATGAAATCGAATCTACATGATTGAGAAACACATTACGGTATAATGAGGTTAAGTCATAGATTTAACCATTGTGCTTGCCCTAGTTCAAGAGATATATTAGTGATGTATCTGTGTTAAGCTACAGTGATGCTGTTACAACGAGACTGTTTTGAAAAGACAACAGTTTATCTGATAAATCGGATCAGACTAAACCAACAAAATAATAACAGTGATAATAAAAAGTAAAAAAATAATTGGAAAATTTCTAACTAGTGAAATATTTATGTAGGCCTATGGTTAGTTTTTTTTTAGTACGCTCGTTTTGAGCTGAAACTGTTCAAGTGAGATTTATAACAGGTACTGCAAATATTTGGAGATTTCAGTTTCGGAGGGTGCGAAACGTAAACTTAAGCAATATCAATCAATATTTGAATTGTTTACTTTGTTTTTCAAAGTTATTAACGTTTAATTGAAAATTATAATGAGAAAACATATTCTTGCGATTAACAGTTAAAATAATACAAAAGTTCGCGGCATTGATTAGGACGCGCCACTCTACTTCCATCCTTCCAATTCGTTAAGTTATCTTGTACTTTGTTTATTGCGTATTTTCTCCTGGTCTTTTTGTTGATAGGATGCGTGCAGTGACCTATCCTGCTCAACGTCGAATCCGAGGGCTTCTTGTGTGAGTGTTAACAGACCACCCCTTGATGGTACTTGGTGTGGTGAGGACTCGGTGAGATATGTTCATGATATACCGTTTTTACTAGCAAAATATTGGCGTGTAAATAAAACCAATATTAAAGTGCAGCAGTTCCCTTGTGATTTGATAGGCGGCGCACGTCCAGTGCGTGCTAACAAAACGATATCAGCACCTGAGCGTGATTGTTTATTAATACTGTATTTCCAATAATTATAATATTATCAAACATGTTCTAATTCACAGTGGTGCCAACAGGGTCTTTGTGTAAAGCACCCAATCAACGTCGAGCAACATGCTAACAACCAAAACAAGAATATAAAACGATTTGGGGTCGGTGCTTCCTCTAGCGACAACGCCGCATATCTTTTCTTGCATGTATCATTGAAAGTTTCTTTATTGCTGGTTTTAGTGATTGTTTTAAAAATAGTTTTGAAAACTCTTAGATTCTGTTCCAGCTACCTGCTAGGCCTACACAAGGCCAGACATGGAAAACAAATATGGTCTGTATGATAATAACAGTAATACGTTGACTTACCAATATTTTAAGCCCAGATACACTATGTATCTTATTTATTCTGCTATGTATTATTATTATTATTATTATTATTATTGTTATTATTATTATTATTATTATATATCGTATTGTCTCCACCTCGGTCTGTGACGTAACTGACGTGCAATGAAAATACTGTATAAAGGAATGAATGCTTAAAAATTAGCACTTAAAAAAACAATTCACCAAATATAAATGTTTATCACATTTTGAAAAGGGTAAATAGGTCATTTAAAAAAGGTTAGGTAAGTTTTTTTTAAAATGTAAATAAAACCATTAAAGTTATGATACATTCCGTTAGTTTTAGTCTTAATTGTGATGTCTCGGGCTGCTTGGTGTTGGATGCCATAACCTAGGCATAAACGTGGACAAAACCGAATACTTGTTTCTATTGTTCAGGTGTAAAATACGATACATTTTAAGTAATTTTTACTTTTGAAAACAAGAACACAGCGATGTTATTTTATTTATAACATAATTTTCAAATAAATAAAGTTGATGCAACGTTACGTTAAAGTTATTTTCTGACATAACTTAACCACAACGTTCACAACTATCGAAAATGTTTTAATAAGGTTTTGTTTTTGCTGGATCATCGGAACTAAAAATATCTTCAAATTGTTTAAATGGGGGAAAATACAACCTACTGTTGGCCAGTACCTGGTAACTGCACCGGTCATTTCAAGACAGGCGCGCTCCAAATTTGGACCTAATGGGAAGGAATTACTAAGTAATACTATCGTATAAATAAACTCCCGTATGTGCATGGGCAGTCGGAGGATCTTCCCCGGCATGTGAACATAATGACAGTAAGTGGAGCAAAATGGAAAGTTGTTGGAATCGAACCAGTGACATTCGACCTTATGATAGATCATATGGAGGAATTAGTTTAGATACATCTCGCACGACGTCGCACGACGCCACAGGCGTAATGGTGATCACAAGAGATAACCTACTGAATGGAAGTGTTTACTAGCCTATATCAGGTACTTGCAGTAAATTGATGCAAGTAAATTGTATTTCTTTTTTATATACTAACAGTAATAAACACTTTAAATATAGTTTGACCACGAGTGGTATGATAATTTAATGAAATAAATCACATATATCAAATTTTGAGCTACAGAAATTAAAGTACCAAGTACATTTACGAAAGCTGTTTGCTAGCATTTTTCTTATAAATAAAAAACACATTACACATTTATGCTGTCAAACACAGGTAATTTGAACATCTTTGGTGCAATTACTTTGAAGCAAACTGTGTCACGTTCAATAAATTCAAAAACGGAATACTTATAAATAAACAATATAATTCCAACTATATTTCATCTCAAATTGAGTTGTAAGCAACGATCACAATTACAAATTATGTGACGATACATATGATGAATATCGTGGTAGCTCATACAATTTTCTAGAATACACAACAGGCAAGGTTTCCAAATTCGAATATGAATACAAGACCATTATGAGTAATCTCTCAGATTACTAAAATTGCACTTTATGAAAACGCCCTCTGGTGGCAATATATTCCTCAAAACGATGCATCTCAAAATCGACGTTTAAAATATTTTCAGTTTCCCTTATTTCTACAAGACTATGAAATGTATATATAATCATAAGCCCGTAAGTCTTTTACAGGCCTATACTATATCACAATATTAACTGGTATTGGTGATATATCTTAACATTTTAAGTAGTAATTAATTAATCAACTAGAGCATATCCATCGCACTGGGATACAGTAACTCAAATTAAAATGACCCACTGCACATGATTCGTTAGTCCACTGACTCCGTTCAAAATGTTCACCAGTTATGCAAAAGTTTGCCCTTGTGGTAATTAATTAGTCTGAATTATTCGTTACATATGTAATAATCTGTACCTTAAAACTTTTTTTTTCCAAATATAACATCACAATTGACCGTTGCCAGTCCAACAATAGGCCTACTAGGACATTAGTGACCAAGTGTATACTCAGATACATTCTTCGGAGTATAAACGTTAATTTTATGTTACTTAAACCCAATCAATGCGTCTGTTAATACTAGACGCCATACCAGAATAACAGTTTTCTCTTGAGTGAAATTTTCAAAAAACTGTTAAGTGTTAATTTTCAGTGAGAGTTTTAATCTCCTAAGTACATTAAAAAATCTAATAAATAAAGTAACATTTACATCTCAAGTTATAAAATTATTTGTACAAAAAGTTGCAAAATACCCAATTCCTTGGTCTCAGATTTAACTTGTCAAAAATCAAGTCATCAACCAATGGAGTTCCCACCAGCACCTTGACCAATTAAGTGCGGCAATCGTATATAAACTCTATAGCACCATGCGAAAATCCTCCCGATAAATCTGAATTTTGAATACATAAAGGAAATGACAGCAGAATCCTGCAGCTATCAAAAACTAACGATTAATCAACAAAAGATATTCTAGATCTACTTTCAACAAGTTTCAAAATCCAAGTACTGCAAAGCACATACAAAATCATTATTCAATGATGATCGACGCACATCTGTCGGGTTCCTCAGTATATGTGTATGTAAACATCCAAATAACCAAGATCAACCCGTCAACCTATTGACGAATCAAGTATATGTCACCATCAAACAAATGATGATGGTTTATTATGTTCTGCAAATTACTACTGCGACTATAGTAGTAATAAGACTAAAATGGTGAATATCTCAGAACGTCATTATCGTGATCATCATGACATCATAACCATAATCATCGCCTGCGACAGGTAGTAGGCCTATTATTACTCTATGAAACATGCTCAGTAGAACAATATTAATTTCAGTGACGAAATATTAATTCTACAGATTCAAGTTTCAGCAAGAACTGTTTGGAAAGGCAACATGCTTGATGAAAGCATGTGACAGAGAGTTGTAAGTGGTTTGGCTTCCAAATGTATGGTCGCCAGTCCTAACACTGGTCACGCTACTTACGTCTTTGTTCAAGGCACTTTATCTAGCTTCCCTCTCCCAAGCCAGGAGATAAAAATGGGTACCTGCATGATGTAAAACATTGAGTAATGCAGCAATTTAAGATTGCACATCAGCATACTGTGACCAGGGTAACACATTATAAATGTTGGTAGGAAAAAGAAATAAAAGTTCCATTTAAAAGTTCCCTTTAAGATATTAACCTAAAGTATCATCACCATTAACATTATCCCCATCATCCATATAAAATCATCCATTATGTTTGCTTTCAATTGTTGACCTTAGAATAAAATTAGGAAGCTAGTTAATCACATTCTAAAATATATCTCTATTACTCAAACAATATGAGATTCAGATAAATTTCTTTGCATAAAATGATTATATAAATATTTCATTTTACATTTTCAAGGCAAAACGGAAGAAATGAGAGAAATAGCCTAAAGATATATAACAGAGAAAGACATGAAATAACGTTTTTGATTATGATAATCATAATATCAATATATCATAACATGGGAATGCATTTGCAAGTATATACATATATTTTACTAAAGAGATAATGACACATTTAGATATATTATATACACATTCTAATTCTGTAATACTTTTTTCCATACCCTCAACATTAATTTCTATACCAATTTTGAAAAAGAAACACAGAAACACCTTTCATTCATTTCAAATGAATACCTGCACTTCTCAGTTCAACTGAGACTTTCTAGCTTTGTCCACACTATCAAATTTTATTTGACAAAAAACTGTTGTATGCCCATATATAGTCATGATGTGCCTATATATGGTCATGATGTGCCTATATATGGTCATGATGTGCCCATATATAGTCATGATGTGCCTATATATGGTCATGTGATGTCATCATGACCATATTTAGTCATGTCACATTTTTTTGTCAAATAAAATTTGATAGTCTGGACAGGGCTTTAATGTTTATACAACTTCTAGTGAAAGAAAGCACCAGATTACTACTTTTAAAAAATGTAGAAAATATTGCATTTGCATAATCTTCATAGATATACAAAAAAAAAAAACTCTTCCTATAAGCAGAAATCTGAATAAATACTGGTTATGCAAGTTAATCAACCAACATTTCTTAAAAATTAATTGATTTCATTTTACCATGATAAGAATCTTAATTTTAACAAATTTATCTGTATAGTTTATATGCATCACTGTAAACGAAAAGCGAAATTCTTGAATGTATTATATGTCAATCATTAAACATTTCATAATTTCAATTCATATATTTTAAAAATTTCTATATATTGATTTTCTGAAAGATTAATTGCACCTATAAATCTTCTATAGAATATCAAAATACAAATTAAATACACTATAATATGCTTTGGGCAAATAAAGAGTAAGACAATTGTAAAATATGGCACATTAAATTGACATTAGTAATAAATGTTATCCTCTGAGTTGGAAACACATTTGTTACTCTGTCCAGATTATCAAACTGTATCTTGCCCATATATAGTCATGATGTACCTATATATGGTCATGATGTGATGTCATCATGACCATATATAGGCATGTCATGTTTCTGCCAAATGTCAATAGTCTGCTGGACAGGGCCTGTATATGAACAAACGATTCTTTGTGTTCACATTATATGTGATTATTACTTTGACTATCTGTATATTATGAAACTAATATCAGATAATCAATGTAAACTTTGCCAAACTGAAAACTATTATTGTGGTAGACTTCAATATTCTGTAACATTACTTGATCCCTTCCTGTAAAAAGCACATTCATGATTCATCAGTCTCATGTGTGTATAATATGTATACACTCTATGTAACTTGTGGATTTTTCATACTTAATTGTTTCATTATTCATATTTTATTGTATTAGATTATGACAAAATATCATACCTTAACATTTTACTTTCTCCTATCTTATAGCAAATCTCTTAATTTTCATAAAATGATCAAAACTCAAAACAAGCCACATCAGTAGGTTATACATCGTCATTATATTTGTAATTAGCAAAAAATACAAAAATTCTTCTTGTAACAGTAAAATTGTGTACCACTGGCCACTATAACTTTGTGTCGACATTACTTCCCTGAGGCTCTGCTCGGAATCTTTGGTGAGTTGTTTTTCTCCGACTGCTGAACTTGCGTCGTGGTGGCATCGGGGACGGTGTCTTTGGGCCTCCAGCTGGCTTGATTAGGTATCTTGTTAAGAAAAGAAAACAATCATTATTTCTCAGGTTTAATAATTGTACATAATAGTATTATTGTCAGTCTTATTGTATAATCCAAAACCAACTATATGGGATCTAAACTAATCTCTGGTCACAATATTAATCATCTATGAAACACAAACTCAGCTCCATGAGGGAGTATCCCACAATGTTGCACATCATAATATTGGTGTTTAAACCTACCCACTAATACTGCTGAAAGCAAAAAGTTAGAGTTGTTAAGATGCCTTGCTCAAGACTGGGGCATAAACATTGAACCTTTCAATTAGATGCCAACAAATCCTTGGGTGTATGATTGTCTTCTGAATAGATTGGAACTTTTTAAAGGATTAAGTTTGCTGTTTGGCTACATGTATATGTATATATATATATGTATGTATGTATA